GCGGTTTGCGTGGTTTATCGTCGCAAAGCGGTACGATCAGGCGGCAATCACGGAGCATTAGCCGCGCGTCGAGCGAGAATTCACCGAAGGGTAAACCGGGATGGAATCGTCGCGCAACAGATGTGCAAAGCACGCCGCCGGCCCTGAACCACGCTTGCCACGCGGAAGCGGGGATCAGACCATGCGGCAAACGACTGTCGAGACGCAAGCAGGGTCGGGGTCCACGGCGGGTGGTGACCATTGCGCGGGCCGCCAATTCCGGCGGGGCGATGGCTTCTGCTGCGGCCGACTACGGCGGATCCAGACAGGGTCCGGCGGCATTGTGAGCCGGCGCACGGGCCCCGAAGCGGTCGCGAATCGCAGGTTGCGAACCGTTTAGCCCGCCACGGCGGGCACGACACCACCGAGCCAAGCTATCTGGCGACGAAGGTCACAGAGGCATCGGAGTTTACGTTGACCGTGTATTCCGCGCCGGGTTGGAGGCTGGAACCCAGAGGCACGTCGGTTTCCACAATTGGAAAGTCCGCGGTGCAGACCACGAACGGATCGGCGACCTCATGGTGCGTGATTGCCACGTCGAATTGATGCGAGGAGCTCCGTCGTATTTCGTACCCGTTGACCTGAGAGCAGCCGCTTCCCTTGGGCAGTCCGGACACAATCCGGAGGGTGTGCTGATACGGCGGGGTCTCGGATATGACCACGTCTGCGGATTGGACCGGCGACTGTGCGATGGCGGTATGACCTAAATGGGCCTCGGGCAGAGTGAATTTGGTGGTCTCGGCATCGTTGACGATGACTGTATATGGCGGGCCCGGGGAGAGGGACTCGCCGACATGGAGCACGGTATCCAGTTCGACCACCTCCTCCTGGCAGGGCGGAGACCAAGGCGTGTCCGGCGGCTGAGTGAGGGTGAGGCGCACGATGATGTTACGGCCATCCAAGGTGAGATTCTGACTGCCGGGGCGGGCACAGTTTTCCAGGGTTGACTGGAAGTAAGCGATGCGCAGCAGGTGCACCGGCTCGTTGGGGATAAGGTTGGCCCAAATCACTTGAGCCGGCACTTCTCGCCACGTGCGCCAGTCGGTGTTATCGCCTACCAGGTTGGGCGGCGGTTCCACCAGGATCAAGAGCATATAGACCCGGTGCGGGTTTCCATGGGTCAGTACGTCGTAGGCAGTATCGTTGGTGAAGGCGAGGCGACCGTCCGCCTCAACGATGCGGGCCGACAGGGAGTAGCGGCTGCCGGGATCGATGTCCCCAGGGTCGTATGCCACATCAAACTCGATTGGGACCTGGCCGGGACCGGCGATGGTCTGGCTGCCGATCAATCGCGACGGGGCGTCGGCGAGGCTGGTGTCCCTTAGCTCCACGATGAGGGTGGCTTCGGGCGTGAAGGGCAACCGCTCGTGATAGGAGATTGTGCCGCGAACGGACGCTGTCCGTTGCCCGCTGGAGAGGGCAGCGGCGCTTTCTCCGTTTGATCCGGAACCGCCGCCGCAGGCAACGCACAGTGCGGCGGCAACAAGCGCCGAGAGAACGGGCAGATTGATATTGGTTTTCATCAAGGCATCCTCGTGTCCCAAATGCTGGCTGCGAATCCAATTGCGGTTATGATGCAAAACTATCAACTGTTTCACCGTCCAGAGCGCGATTTCGCCTGCCGGCCGTGTGCGTAGCGTTCAATATAGATAGCCAGTAGATATGAGTGGAATACGAGATCGAATGATAGACGGATTTTGGTTGCCGTTTGCCCGTGTCGTGGGCGTTGTTCTGTTGCCGGGAATTGTTATATCTGGAGATTGCTTGCCATGATTATTGGGAGCCTTGATAATATTGGAGCGTAACCAAGACGCAAGTTCGACCTTGATACGGGAAGAAATCGTGGTGCCAGAACGTGATGCCAAGTGGTCCAGAGCCGCACAAGTAGGCATGCTGATGCGCGCCTACCGGGAAACCTTTCCGCTGGGAAACGGGAGGTATGGGTTGACCCAGGCCAGCCTGCTGGAGCGGATGTCGGAGGTGAACGGCCAGTACGCCGAGCGGTACAGCCACGTGACGGTGTCCCGGTGGGAGTCAGGCTCGACGCTTCCTACACTAAACCGTCTGCAGGATTTTGGGGATGCCCTTAACCTCGCCCCAACTGAGGTGCGGGGTCTGTTGGCTCTGGCGGGGTTTCGTGAGGCCGCCGGCGGGAACGGTGATCGGAAGTTTACTGACTGGACGGACACCGCCGTTGAAGAGGGTTCCGACCTGGAGCCGCAACCGGTGCCCATGTCGAATGGCGAATATGCATCCTCCGCCGGCGACGGTCGATCGGCTGTCGATACGACGCCAGGTTCGTTGGTCCCGGACATGGGAAGCATAATTCGGTATTTGTCTTACAAGTGCGTTCTTACGGGCGTGTGCATTGCCGTCGGCGGATACGCTTTGGCCGCGTTCGGGTGGAACAACACCTGGATGCCGATGCTATACGTCGCGGCGGCCATGTGCCTGGTGGTATCGCAAGGGCTGTTGCACCGGCGGAGTCCGCATGACCTGGGCGAGTTCTACAGCACGGCCGTGTTCTTTTTGCTGAGTACGTTTCTGCTGCAATCGGCCGTTGTCCGGATGGACCCCTACGGGTTCTACACATTCAACGATTACGCGGGCACGCACATCCCGTTTCTGCTGGCCCTGGAGGTCAACCTTGCCCTGGCCTCAGTCGCCGGACTAGCTTTTCACCTGCTCCGACAATGGCAATACTCCAGAGATCAGGGCCGCACCAACGGGCTGCGACGGGCGGTGGCCGTTACGTTGCCGCCGACGTTGTTCACGTACGTGGCCATTGTGATCCTATCCAATATTTCATTATGGATTCAATGATCATGGTGCTCCCTCCTCTTGCCGGGGCGTTCGTGGTCCTCTTGGTCTTGCGGGATACAGAGGTGCGGCCCAATGCGCGCGATCGCCGGTTCTCACTGGTTACTGTGGTGGTGGTGGTGGCGGTCATGGGCACTGTGGGGGCGGCGGTGGTGGCGGCGATATACCTGGCGCCGAATACGCCATCGGTTTTGCCCGACCACAACTGGTGGACTTCGTGGGAGGTCGACTTCGGCCAATTGGGTTATCCGCAAGAAGAGGCCTTGGAGAGGCTGAACCGCGGCTACCTCTGGCACGGGTTGGCCACATTCTTCTACATGGTCCTGGTGGTCGGCGGGGTCGTGATCGCCTCGATCTATCGGATCGGAAAAGACGACGGTGCAATGGCTGCTGCACCGGGATCCGTGCCGACAAAATCGGTCTACCAGCGCGTTCCGGCCTGGACTCGCCGGGTGGGGTCGGCGTTTTCCCCGCGTCTTAACGCTAACGACGCTGGCACCGGCAGGATACGCGCGGTGACGAAGTTGATGACCGCCAGGAAATCGAGAGACAGCCGGTTGGCGGGCGGTAATTCAACCCGGGCGTGACGCCTCGTCACGGTAACGGACCGCGGTGGTTGCAGCAGCCGCGTTCGCCGCAACTGCGACAGCGGGCTGTCACGCCCGGCGCAGTTTGGGAGCCAACAGGGCCAGCGCCACGACCAACACGATGCCGGTGAACCCCACCACCTGGGCCGCGCCAGGAGCGCTCCAGTATCCGCGATGGCGCCGGCCGCCACGCTGCCGAAGCTGTAGGCCAGGATCGCAAAGGCTCTCAGGCTCATCACGCGTCCCCGGAATTGCTGCGCGGTGGTGCGCAGCAGCAGTGTCAAGATCAGGACCTGGGTGGAGGCAAAGGACATTCCCACCAGCACGAAGATCGCCATCGAAAGGTAGAACGACGTCGATAGCGAAAACAGGAGAATGGACACGTGCCATGCCAGCACCGCGAAGATGAGCAGCAAACCGGGTCGGCGCAGGTTGGGCACCATGGTGAAACCCAGTGATCCGCTGAGGGCTCCGCTGCCGAAGGCGAACAGCAGCAGCCCCAAACCGGCGGAGTCGCTACCCAACACGTCACGCGCGAAGATGGGAGCCAGGCCGGTGTGCACCGTCCAGCCGGCCAGGTTGATGATGACCGCCACCGCCAGGACCGCCCAAAGCACCTGGTTGCCGGCGACGTAGCGCACGCCGCCGATCACCGTGCTCATCACACGCTCGGGGCCGCGCACAACCGTCGAGGGCGGGGTTCTGACGCCCAATGCCACGAGCCCGCTGGCCAGGTAGAGGCACGCGATGGCCGTGTACGCGCCCTGCGGACCCAGCCCTTTGAACAGAAAGCCGCCGATCAACGGGCCACAGAGCATTGCATGTTCATAGCGACGGTATTGAACGCCGCCCCGTGTCCAAGCTGATCGGTGCGCAGGGTATCGGCCACCAGGGACTGGGCCACCGGCATCTGGCAGAGGCGGACGACGCCCATGACGAGAGTGATGGCGAAGATGTGCCAGACTTCGAGATTGCCGGTGAGGATGAGGGCCAGCATCAGGATGCCCATCGAGCCCATGATGAATTCGACGGAGGCCAGGAGGCGGTTGCGCGGCAACCGGTCGGCGAGGGCGCCGGCGAAAAGAGCGAGGAAGTTCAGAGCCATCCGCGCCGCCGCTATGGCGCCAACGAGAAAGGGCGAGTCGGTGAGGGTGAGGACGAACCAGCCCAGAACCGCAGACTCCATCTGGGTGCCGACGCCCACGAGGGCGGTGGATCCCCAGACGAAGGCGAAATCGCGGTTCCGGAAGATGCCCAGAGGGGAGGAAGCGCGATGCAGCGTCGTCGCTACTTTCATGCCGAGTCCGGGCGGCGAGTCCCCAGTGTGCAGAGGTAGAGGTAACGGATCACGCCTGTGCGAAGCCCGAACATTTCCAGGAAATCGCTTGGACCTGTTGTCACTGGGCTTTCCCCCTGACCTCCGACGCTATGAGTGCCGGATGATAACATAGCGGGCCGGCGGGCAGCGCCCGGGGCCGGGGTTGGCGGCGCGCTGCAGGTACGTGGTAGGCTGCGCGGGCCGGGTGGCCATTTGAGCTGCCCTACCGTGCCGTAATGCGGCCGCTTCCTGAGCAGACGATGACCGCGAAGCAAGTAACCGCCCCAGATACCGAGAGCGCCGACGAGCTGATGCGGCGGGTGCGGTCGATGCTGCCGACGTTGCGGCAGCGGGCGGCGCGTGCGGAGGAGTTGCGACGGCTTCCCGACGAGACCGTGAGCGACCTGGTGGCGTCGGGGTTGTGTCGCATCGGGGTACCCAAGCGATATGGCGGGCTGGACGTGGACTACTCGCTGATGCTCGACGTGGCGGCAGAGTTGGGCCGGGCGTGTCCGGCGACCGCATGGTGCTATGGATTGTGGACGGCGCACGCGTGGCTGGTGGGATATTGGCCGAAGCCGGCGCAGGAGGAAGTGTTCGGGTCGGGCCCGGACGCGCTGTGCTCCAGCTCGCTGAACGTGGGTCGGTCCACTTGCACGCCGGTGGACGGCGGGTACCGGCTGTCGGGACGGTGGGAGTTCTCCAGCGGGTGCGACGCGGCAAGCTGGTTGATGCTCGGAGTGCCGGGTATCGGGGGGCGGAACTGGGCGCTGGTGCCGCGCGGCGACTACGAAATCGTGGACACCTGGTTCGTGTCGGGTCTGTGCGGGAGCGGGAGCAAGGACATCGTGGTGCACGATGCGTTCATTCCGACCCATCGCATCCTCGACGTGACGACTGCGGGCGACGGCGACTGGAGCGGGTGGGAACTGCACGGTCAGAGCAGATACCGGGCCCCGATCCCGGCGCTGCTGGGTTGGGACCTGGTGGCGCCCATGGTTGGCATCGCCCAGGGGATGCTGGACGAGTTCATCACCAAGACGGCCGGAACGGCGGGGGCGGCGAAGTCGGCGGACTCGCCGGCGGTGCACATTCGCGTGTCCCAGGCAGCGGCGGAGGTCGATGCGGGAAGGGCGCTGATGGAACGGGACGTGCGCGAGGCGCTGGATCAGGCCAGAGGCCGGCGAAGGGTTCACGACCCTGGACCGGGCGAAATATCGGCGGGACAAGGCGTATGTCACCCAACCAGCTGTGCCTGCAGGCGGTTGAACCGCTGTTTGACATCAGCGGCGGGCACGGGCTTTTCGACTCCGCCCCGTTGCAACGGTTCCACCGGGACGCCCACGCCGTGGCGCACCGGGACACGCTGATCATGGATTGGGCGGCCAGGAATACGGCCGGGTGGTTCTGGGGCTGGACGCCAGCGGTACAATCTAGCCAAGTGCGCCGATACCGGACGGAACGCCCGAGTTGTGGCGAGCGGCGCCATTCAGAGAACCGGGTCGTCACGGCGCTACGCACTTTGCTACGACAAGATGGGATAGAACTCGCAGAAAGAGGAGTGGACATGACCATCCAGCAGACGATCCAGAACCTGGAGCAGGGCGACGTCAACCTGCCCGAATCGGGGCGACCGGTATCCGACTCCAATGAGGGCGTGATCTCGTCAGGGGCATACCTGACCTCGATGGCCGGAATGCGGATACTGCTGGCCGGCGGCAACGCGTTCGACGCCATGGTGCGGCCAGCCTGGCGGCGGCCGTGGTGGAGCCCATCGCGTCGTACTCGCTGGCGGCGGAAGGGGTGTTCATGCTGTACGACGCGGACAGCGGAGACCTGCGGTCGCTGTCCGGGCAGGGCGGCGCGCCGGCAGCGGCGACCGCTGAGTTCTACCGGTCGCGGGGGCACGAGCGGATCCCGACGGGCCCGGGGATGGATGCGCCGCTGTCGTTCACCCAACCGGGAATCGTGGACGCGTTCATCAACATGTTGGAACGGTACGGCACGATGACGCTGGCGGAAGTGATCGCGCCGGCGATCAGCTACGCCGAGGACGGGATACCGCACTACGAGTACATGCTGGAGCGGTTGAAGTCCCAGAGCGGGCAGGAACAGTTCGACAACTTCCCGCCGGGAGGTTGGGAGGTCTTTTACGACGACCGGGGGGTGCCGGCTCCGGGGACCATGATGCGGCAGCCGGGGCTGGCCAACACGCTGAAGTCAATGCGGGACGCGTCGCTGGCGACGTCGGGGTCCAGAGAGGAGAGCCTGCAGGCGGGCAGGAACGCATTCTACGAGGGGCCCATCGCGGAGCTGATCGTCGAGGAGACACGGAAGGTGGGCGGGATCCTGTCGATGGAGGACCTGGCGGGATACCGGTCGCAGTTCGGGGAGCCGGTGAGCACGACCTTCCACGGCAAGAGATCTGGGGACAGGACTCGTGGACGCAGGGGCCGATGCTGATGCAGGCGCTGAACATCCTGGAGAACTTCGACCTCAAGGCGATGGGGCACAACAGCCCGGCCTACATACACACGGTGGCGGAGGCGCTGAAACTCTGCTTTGGCGACCGGGAGGCGTTCTACGGGGATCCGGATTTCGCGACGGTGCCGATCGACGGGCTGCTGTCCAAGGAGTACGCCGCCATCCGGGCGGAGGAGATCGATCCCGAAGGCGCGTATCCGGAGCAGCGACCGGCGGGCGATCCGTGGCGGTTCTCCAAGAAGACGGGGCGCACCGCCGCGCAAGTCATGGCCCAAGCCCTTGGCCCCGACACGTCGGCGGACGACGGGACCACGCACGTTTCGGTGCTGGACCGGCACGGCAACCTGGTGTGCGGCACCATCAGCGGCGGGTCGTTCTCCAAGTCGGTCTTCTTCCCCGAGCTGGGCGCCTGCCTGAGCACGCGCATCGAGATGTTCAACTGCGAGCCGGGTCACCCGAACGTGGTGGAGCCGGGCAAGCGGCCGCGGACGACGCTGGTGAACTACATCGTCGCCAGGGACGGGAAGCCCGCCATGACCTTCGGGTGCCCAGGCGGCGACAACCAAGTGCAGGGCAACCTGCAACTGATTCTGAACTCGCTGGTGTTCGGGATGGATCCGCAACAGGCGGTGGAAGCGCCACGGTTCGCCACGTCCAGCAACGTGAACTCCTTCTACCCGCACGTGTACTACCCGGGGCAGTTGGACCTGGAAGAGGGGTTCGCCGATTCGACCGTGGGCGCGCTGAAGGCGTTGGGCCACAAGATTTACCGCACAGCCAACTGCGGGCTGGGCGCGACAGTGTCGGTGCGGGACCCAGAGACGGGTTCGATGAGCACGGGAGCGGACCCGCGGCGGGCGTGCTACGCGCTGGCGCTGTGACGCTTATGCAGGCGTTAGACAGGATGCGGCTGCGGAGACTAAAGACCTGCTGCCGGTAAGGTCGCAGGGATACCAGCCGCCGGCATGATGAGAATCGTGCCGGTCCGGCTGGCACAGTTCCTGTAGATGACTACAGAAAGGTAAGCCGGACGTGGGGCAGAATTGGAATCTGCGGGACTGTTTCACGGCGGCACGAGACTTAGGTTAGCTGACTATTTCGCAGTTATGAATCGTCCGCCAGTGGCTCCCGAAATGGCTTCCAGGGTTTTCCGATCAGCGTCTATGCCGAACGCGATCGTGTCGACTGGAATCGAGGTGGCCAGCAGGGCGTTCAGTGCGTCCTCAATGTATTGAGGGTCGGTGGCCATGCCATCGGACATCAATACGATGCGTTGGTCACGGCAGATGGTTTCCGAGAAGAAAATCCAACGACTATGTTCGGTGCAAGTAGGATTGGCCGGCATCATGTCGACAGTGCTAATCAGGGCGCTGTACATATTGGTCTTGCCGCCGTTCGCAGCGAAGGTGGGAATGGCGGCTTCTCAAGCGATGTTGGTCGGATCTGAGATGTCGAACAGCACATTGTGGTAACTGCCAAAGCGCATCATGCCGATCTCGCTGTTATCGGTGTGTTTAGTAGCCACGTTTACCAGGGCCTCGTGCAAGGGGGCCAAATTCGTTTCCATGCTGTCTGAGTTGTCCACGACGTAGATGACGGTGACGTTGTCGGTAAGCAGAGCCGGTAAGGCTTCCTGGATCGCTACCGGCTGACCAGCCTGGAGGTCGAGTCAGCGTCAGGAATCATAAAGGCCGCGACCAACAGGGCGGCTAAAGCGGCCAGGAGGAGCGCCACCAACACCCATGGCCATTTTCGGCGGCTCCGGCGTCGAACGTCAGCGTCGTAATAGAGCCAGTTGGAGTCGTACGCCATGGTTCACCGTCCCGCAGTCAAACGCTGGATGCACACTCGGGCAAGATACCTTGGATAAAGCATCCGAAAATCCCCGGTACGATACAGTGCCAACAGTATGCGTGCAAATATTGAATACATAGTGTGCACAAGCATTCTGTACGAAAGCCACCAGAGGAACCAATCGTACTACGAATGTTCGGATATCTTTACCCGCCGTCCTTTGCTGCCTTTGGCCGGACAGTAGATCTCGGCGCAATCATGATCGCTTGACGGCTGGTCCCGCGGTGCGGACAGCAAACCGCTGATGGCGTCCTGGCCCGAGTAGTGCAGAGACAACCGATCCGCCTCCCAAAGGCCCCTTTGGTCCGAAGGGTTACCCTGCATTGCCCGGCTCCCTGAGCTAATTCGGATGCCCCGGAGTGTAACCCCGGCCAAATCAACTGGGGTTCCGGCCAGCTTTCCTGGGGCACGCGGCAGCGCGGTCAAGAGGGGGGCTTCCGGGGGTGATGCTACAATTCAGGTAGCGTGATCCCGGCGCAACCCAGCACAAAAAGGGACGGAGCCCGTGGGTATGTGGGGCAGAGTCGGCTATGCAGCCGCGATTATCGGCACCGTGATTGGGGGCGCAGCGCTCTGTCTCGTGGTGGCCGCCGTGATGTACATCGGGATTTACGCCTTTGTGGGGACGGCGGGTACGGGTCAGCCCACCAATTGGGGCAACGTTTTCCCTTTCAGCCTTTTCGCGGACAGCGAACAGCGCAATTCTCCCCGCGTGGTGATTCGGGGGGACAAATCGGCGCAAGGTTGCGCGCTCTCATTCGGGCTAGCCAGTTCCCCAGGGACTTCCGGGTCGCGCACCAAGACGGTTTGGCAGGACCGCGAGAATTGCGAATTCATCATGGAGATCCATGCCATATACTGAAACAAGTAACAGGATAAGTCCTGCGATATCCTCGCCCAGCTGCCCTGGGCGGGCTAGCGGGGAAGGCAATGGATAAACGGCGGGCGCCCATCGTCCTGATCGCGTCGGTGTTCGGATGCCTCGCCCTCCTCATAGTATTGGCGGGGTTTCTGTTCATGGCGGCGCACTGGTTGTCGGGGCAGTCTGGTAAGCCCGACTACGTGATGTGGGACGAAAACAGCCCGGAGAGCCGGCGCGGGCCGGTCGACGTGAGGGCGGCGCCAAGGATCATATTGAACGGCGAGAGGATAGATGGGGTTTGCCAGTATTTCCTGGGGCTAGCATTTACACCCGACGGCCGGTCCACTTACGGACGGACGGTGCGCGAAGAGCCGGAAGAATGCCGTAAGGAGGTGGAGGTCTGGACCGGCCCATGATGAGGCCGTGGTCTGGTTGATTAAGACTCGGTTGCAAGGATTCTGCAGGTGCTGGGCGGGCCAGAACAAAAAGGTCGCGGAATCGGGTGACCGACACTTCGGGGAAAAGAGAAAGGAGTATCAGGGCAGCAGCCTGGGCCAGGGAGGAGGTAGGGTGTTACTCCAAGTCAACCGGCCGGTGCGGTGGGACGATGATGAAACAGTACTGAAAATCCGGCCGGGGACCCCGATTCTCCCCACGCGGTTGTTTTCTTGACGTCGATTATCGATGTAATAATGTGCTCACGCGTACCCAGTTTGCCATTGCGAGGAGCCAAGCGACGTGGCAATCCCGCCGCCTTGACGACATCTCCTTTGCCAACGAGATTGCCGCGCTTTGCTCGCAATGACATTTTGGGCACAAGTGGGTACGCGTCAGAACAATGGGTTCTTGACACGTGGCGTATGCACCTTCACGCCGTATACGACTGTAATACGTCAGCTGAGTGTAGTGCCAAACCCGGCCAATGGCTTTCCGGCCAGACCTACAAGGCGTTACTGATCGGATGTGATGGTCTCACGGTACAAGTCGGGACGGCCCGGGTAGCGTTGCCCTTTTTGAGAAGGATCAGGGTTGACCGAACTGAAATGGTGCCTACAGGAACCTCAGCCTCTAAAGTCGTTTTCGTATAGCTGCTGCAGCCGGGCCAGGTGTTCCGGCGGGATGGGGGGCAGGTCGACGCAGGTGGCGGTCTCTTCGGCCTCGGCGCGGTTCTTGACCCCGGGGACGGTGCTGTGGATGTCGGGGTTCATCAGGCAGAAGACCATTGCGGCCTGGGACAGGGTCCGGATGGGTCCGTCCAACAGGAACCCCAGCTTTTGCGCGCTCGCCAGGTCCTTCTGCATCAGCGCGTCGCCCGGACGGGGCGGGCGATCCAGGCCATCGGTCAGGGCGCCGGCGGCGTGGGAGCGGATGCCGATGACTCCCATGTCCAGGCTGCGAGCCAGGGGGATGATCTGCCCGTTGTCGAACAGCTCCACCCCGGACGGAGGCAGCTCCATCGCGGTGCGGTTCAGCAGGTTGTAGTAGGCGAGAACAGTGTCGTACTCGTTGGCCTCAAGGATGCGCCGCATGGTGGGAAGGTGGTGGTCCATGGCGGACAGTCCGATGAAACGGGTCTTGCCGGCCCGCTGGACGGCGCGGTAAGCGTCGAGCACCGGGCCGAGCACGTCGTCTGCCGACAGGGAATTGGGCACCTCGCCGCGCCGCTCGGTGAAGCGGTTGTGCACGTGGAGCACGTCAACCGAATCGCGGCGCAGCCGGCGGAGGCTAATGTCGACGGAGCGCTGAACCGCGCCGGCCACGTCGTCCATCTCGTCGGCGAGGAGCCTCACCTTGGTGGCGACGACCACCGGCTCCGACCGACCCTCCAACGCCTTGCCCAGGGCTTCTTCCGCCTTGCCGTCGCCGTAGCCCGGCGCCACGTCGAAGAAGGTGATGCCCAGTTCCAGGGCCCGGTGAACGGAGGCGATGGCCTCCTGCTCATCGGTGGGTCCCCAGACCTGGCCGATGCCGCCGCCGCCGAAGCCGGCCCGGGAAACCGTCAGGCCGGTGCGGCCCAGTTGCGCGTATTCCATGTTAGCTGTGTTCCCCCTCGGCCAGCTGGAAGTAGATGCCGTGGGAGCTGGCCGGCTCGATGCTGGCGGTCAGGTAGCCGAAGGGGCTGGCGGACGGGCCGTCGCCGCGCATGTCGTTACCGTTGGCCTGCAGGTCGTTGAACAACTGGCCGATGCCGTCCACGCCCCAGGCCACGTGCATGACGCCAGGGCCGGTCTCGCGGAGCTGGCGGGCCGTGGGCGTGTCGTCGCGCAGGGGCTGGAAGAAGTCGACCAGGGTGTCGCCGATCTGGTAGAGGATGGACTTGAAGCCGCGTTCGGTGAACTCGTCGCTGCGGATGGGTGTGAGGGAGAAATTGCGTTCGATGTAGGCGGCCATATCGTCCACGTTTTCCACGACATAGGTTACGTGATGCACTTTGTTCAGCATGATCGACCTCCGCGCTGTTAGACTTGGGCGCAGCGTATTGGTTTTCGGGCCGGCAATCAACCCTGGCGAGGCTGATACATACTCAATTTGTCATCGCGAGGAGCGTAGCGACGCGGCGATCTCGCTGCTCGAGAGGTGGCCGCTACCCCGACGAGATTGCCGCGCTTCGCTCGCAATGACAATATCGCCAAATTGGGTACGCGTCAGAGACGAGGTAATTACATGAGCGACCACAAGGTTTTTGAACTGGGAAACGTCGACCTGCAGTGTGGGCTGCGGCTGCGGGGAGCGCAGCTGGCGTACCAGACCTACGGCGAATTGAACGCGCGCAAAGATAACGTGATCGTGTTCCCGACTTTCTTCGGTTCGCAGCACCCGGCCAACGAGCCGATGATCGGCCCCGGGATGGCGCTGGACCCGACTCGGTACTTCATCATCATTCCCAACCTGTTCGGCAACGGGTTGTCGTCGTCGCCCAGCAACACGCCGGAACCCTACGGCCGGGCGCGGTTCCCTAGGGTCACCTACTACGACAACATCGGGTTCCAGCACCGGCTGGTCACCGAGCAGTTCGGCGTCGAGCGGATCGCGCTGGTGTGCGGGTTCTCCATGGGAGCGCAGCAGACCTTCCACTGGGGCGCGCTGTATCCCGACATGGTGGAGCGGATCGCGCCGTGGTGCGGCTCGGCGAAGACGGCGCGGCACAACTTCGTCTTCCTGGAGGGCGTGAAGTCTGCCCTGTGTGCCGACGACGCGTGGCAGGGCGGCTGGTACGACAGCCCGCCAGCCAAGGGGCTGCGCGCGATGTCGAGGGTGTACGCCGGCTGGGCGCCGTCGCAGGCGTTCTACCGGGAGAAGGTGTACCTAGACCTGGGGTTCTCGTCGCTGGAGGACTACCTGATCACGGCGTGGGAAGGGCGATACCTGCAGCAGGACGCCAACAACATCCTCGCCATGGTTGCCACATGGCAGGCGGGGGACATCAGCGACAACCCCTTGTACGGCGGGGACTTCGCCAAGGCATTGGGGTCGATCAAGGCCAGGGCCTTCGTGATGCCGTCCCGCACGGACCAGTACTTCCCGCCAGAGGACAACGAGATCGAGGTGTCGATGATGCCCAACGCGGACCTGCGGGTCATCGAGACGATCTGGGGCCATACCGGCGGCGGGCCGGGCCGAAACCCGGCGGACACTGCGTTCATCGACGCCCAGCTGAAGGAACTGCTGGCGAGCTGAAGACATAACAGGTCGGCTCATGACGAAAAGCAGCGCCGACGGCTGGTGGGAGAGCTTTTTCTCCGGCCTGTGCCTGGACTATGTGCGGCATATTCGGGACGAGGAGCAGACCCGGGCGGAGATGGCGTTCATTCACGCCGCGCTGGGGTTGCCCCAACGGGCCCGGGTGCTGGACGTGCCATGCGGAGCGGGCCGGCTGGCGCTGGAGTTAGCCGCCTGGGGCTATGAAGTGACCGGGATCGACCAGAGCGCCGGGCTCATCGACGCGGCGCGAGATGACGCCGCGGGACACGACTTGCAGATCGATTTCCGACATGGCGATATGCGCGACCTGCCGGACGAGGGCAGGTACGACGGGGCGGTGTGCTTCTGGAACAGCTTCGGCTACTTCGACGACGCCGGAAACCTGGAGTTCCTGCGGGCGGTGTCGCGAAGTCTGAACCCGGGCGGGCGGCTGGTACTGGACACACCGCTGATGGAGACGCTGCTGCACGGCATCGCCGACGAGCCGCGGATCTGGACGGAGGCCGGCGACCTCCTGGCGCTGGAGGAGCGCGGGTTCGACCACGAAACGGGGCGACTGGAGTCGGCGTGGACGTTCATTAGCGACGGGCTGCGCGAAGTACGGGAAATGTCGATACGGCTGTACACCTACCGCGAACTGGTCACCATGCTGGAACGGGCCGGGTTCGGCGAGCACGAGGCGTACGGCGATCTTGATCTGACGCCGTTCGAGCTGGGCGCGCCGTGGCTGTACCTGATCACGACCAAGGTTAACGAACCGGAACGCTAACCCACACGGCGGAGTTTCTGCTGAATCGACGGGTGCAAAACGTAGGGGCGAATAATCATTCGCCCCTACCGTCTGCGACTGGATGCAACTTCAGGCACCGGCCAGTGACCCCATCGGGTCCCACGGCGGGAGGACGATGGGTTCGAGGTCGAGGGCGTCCTGCAGTTCCTGGGGCAAGTAGCTCCGGGGCGCGGCGATCTCGAACATGTACTCGGCGAACCAGGAGTCGTTCATCAGGAAGAAACCCTTTTGGCCGACCTTGTCGTCCCAGCTGTTCTCGACACGCCAGCGGCGGGGTTTGCCGTCAACCACGTCGACGCCGGTGAAGAGCATGGCGTGGGTCATGGCGGTCTGGTGGTAATCCAGCCGTTCCGCCTTGTCCATCTCGAAATCGGCGTTGTATACGCTGGCGTAGTCGAAGAGATCGGCGTCCCACAGGCCCTTGTCGCGGTGCATCTGCTTGCCGGTGTCGCAGCCCATCCAGACGGGCATGCCGTCCTGGAGCATCCGCATGGCGATGTCCTTCATGATGTCGATGTCGACGTTCAGGTAGGTGATGCGGGCGCCGTCCACTACGTTGCCGAGGTACTGGACGGTGTAGGTGCGGTCCGGCGGGCTGGAGCCGCGTGGGTCGTTGACGAGGCAGACGAAATCCTCCATGGGAGTGCTGATGTACTTCTCGGCGAATTCGAGGGGCGTCATCTCACCGTCGCGGTGGAACTCGCCGTCCTTGTCCTTCCACTGCCAATCGAACTGGGCCGGCGGGTTGCCCAGGTGAATGCAGAGGATCTGGTAGACGGCGCGGAGAGCTTCCTGCTTCGCGTCCCGCATGGCGCCCAGGCCGGCCTCGTCGGCGTAGAGGCGGCGGATGTCGCGGGCGCCCTGGCGGACCTGGTAGTTGAGGCCGGCATTCATACGCATGGAATTGCCGGAGCTCTCGGTCTCGGGCATGACGGTCTTCGGAACGACGCCGTGCTTGCGCACGAGGCTGACGAACATATCCCACTGGCCGCCGTCGCCCAGGGGCTGCCGCAGGAGCCAGGCCACGACGCGGTCGTCAATCGGCCGGTCGGCGGTCTCGATGACGGCCTCAAGGATGTAGTTGGCGCGCTCCATCTTGTCCCAGAACATGACGTAGCTCTGGCTGAACTCGAACTCCTTGACGTTGAGGATGTTGCGGGTCTCCGAGCGGAACAGGTTGAGACCGGCAAACATCCAGCAGCGACCGGATCGCGCCTGGTTGGTGACGCCCCAGTCGTCGAGGACGGTGGAGAAGCTGTGGGTTGCCTCGGCGACGATGTTGCGGTTGAGGGCGACATCGTTGACGTCGTGCTGGGTGACGACGTTCTGCATCAGCTGGTGGTTGGGCTGGGAAGCGACGGCATCTTGAAACTCGGCCATGGTGGCGGAGTCCAGGGCGCCCGGGTTGGTCTGGGTGGTCATGGTGCATCTCCCCTGGGGTCGGTGATTCAGTTGGCGGCGGCGTGGACCGGCGCAAGGCTGCCGACCACTTCTGTGATTTCGGCGAGCGCCCGGTCGATTTCGTCTTCGGTGGTGAAACGGCCCACGGTCAGGCGCAGGGTGCCCATGGCGTACTCGGTGGGAACGCGCATCGCCTCGAGGACGTGGGACAGCTCCACCTGGTCGCTGTGACAGGCGGCTCCGGCGGACGCGGCCACGGTGGGCAGGTTGGCCAGGACGCGGTCGGCTTCCATCCTGCGAAAGCCGATGCTCGACGTGTTGGGCAGCCTCTGGGTCGGGTGGCCGTTGATGCGGGCGTCGTGGCCTGATGCCAGAAGGCCCTGCTCCAGGCGGTCGCGCATCGCGCCCATGTGGGTCGCGTACTCTCCTAGGTTCCGCTCGATCAGCTCGCTGGCCTGCCCCAGCCCGGCCATCAGGATGATGTTTTCGGTGCCGGCCCGGCGGTTGCCCTCGTGGTTGGCGCCGTGCATCAGCTTTTCCAACTGGACGCCGGGGCGGATGTACAGCGCGCCGATGCCCTTGGGAGCGTAGAGCTTGTGGCCGGCCACGGAGAGAAGATCGACGCCGAGGTCGTCCGCCTTCACCGGGATCTTGCCGATGGATTGGGCGCAGTCGCTATGCACCAGCACGCCGTGGCGGTGGGCGATACCGGCGATCTCCGCGATGGGCTGGATTGTACCGACCTCGTTGTTGGCGTGCATGATGGTGACGAGGACGGTCTGGGGGGTGATGGCCTCCTCAACCTGCCCTGGATCCACCATGCCATGCTCGTCGACGGGCAGGTAGGTAGTGCGGACGCCGTGCGTCTCCAGGTAACGGCACACCTCGGTCACGGCCGGATGTTCGACCGCCGAGGTGATGATGTGGTTGCCACGGTGACGGCAGGCTTCCGCAACTCCTTTGATAGCGTGGTTGTTGGCCTCGGTGCCGCCGCTGGTGAAGATCAGGTCGTCTTCGGCGCAGCCCAAGAGGCCAGCCACCTGCTGCCGCGCGCGGTCGACACCCTGGCGAGCGGCGAGGCCGAAGGAGTGGCCGCTGGACGGGTTGCCGAACAGCCCGTGCACGTAGGGCAGCATCGCTTCGGCGACCGCGGGATCAATGGGAGTAGTAGCGTTGTAGTCGAGGTATATGCCGTCCATTTTCGGCTCCGGTGCGCCGCGCGTTGGGGCACTGTATGCCGCGCATTATAGACCACGGCGAGCAGGACCGGCCAAGACTGACTTCAGACCGGCGGTGCCGGCAGCGCATCCCGGCAATCACTACGGGCAGCGAACGCGATTGGTCGTTATCGTTGGCCGATCAGGTCAATCAAAATATAGAGAAAGGTCCCGCGCGGGAGATCCTGCGGGACCTTTCAACTGCCCTGGCTTGGGGAAGGCCGGTCGCCGGGTCAGTTCTGGTTGTACACCGGCGGGTCGTACACCAACGGACCGCTGTAGGTCCAGGGGCCGTTGCGTTCGTTGGTATCGCCGGAGTTGAGCCAGACGTAGGCCGCGCGGATGCGGATCCGGTAGCTCTCGCCGACCACCGGCTCCGCGTTGCTGCAATAGCTGGTAACGTCAACTTGGTGGATATCCGGGTCCAGGGTGTCGTAGCCACGGTGCAGGTTTCGGTACTCCTCCAGTGAGCACCAGCCTCCCGACTGGCCGTCGACCAGCTTGTACTCCACGTCATAGCGGAACTGGGGCACGGTGTTGTCGTCTTCGTCGAGGATCGGCACCTTGGGGTTCCCGCGACGCACGGGTCGGAAATCGGGGTTGTTGGGGTAGTAGGGGTCGGGCCGGTCCCAGGTCAAGGTGAAGCCGCCGGCCGGCCTGACCCCCGCGGATACGTCGGTGGGCGCTCCGGGCGCGCCGGACATCACGAAGTACTCTGCGGACGGTCGGCTTTCGCCCAGCAGGTTGAAAGCCTTTACGCGCACGTGGTAGCGCTTGTGGCCGGCCCTGTTCGTCAGCAGACTGGATTGCGCCGAAGGGTCGTCCACGACCGCTTGGTTTCCATCTTGGTAGTTAGCTCCGGTTCGCCATTGCACGATGTAGCCGCCAACGGTACCGCCGCCGGCAGGAGGATCCCAGTAGACCAGCAGAGATTCCTTGCCACCCACCGCCTCGATGCCGGAAGGAGCATCAGGAGGTCCGCCGGTCAGGTTGTATTCGATGGGGCCGCTGTAGGTCCAGGGGCCGTTGCGTTCGTTGGTATCGCCGGAGTTGAGCCAGACGTAGGCCGCGCGGATGCGGATCCGGTAGCTCTCGCCGACCACCGGCTCCGCGTTGCTGCAATAGCTGGTGACGTCAACTTGGTGGATATCCGGGTCCAGGGTGTCGTAGCCACGGTGCAGGTTTCGGTACTCCACTAGTGAGCACCAGCCTCCCGACTGGCCGTCGACCAGCTTGTACTCCACGTCATAGCGGAACTGGGGCACGGTGTTGTCGTCTTCGTCGAGGATCGGCACCTTGGGGTTCCCGCGACGCACGGGGCGGAAATCGGGGGTTGTTGGGGTAGTAGGGGTCCTCGGGGGTGGGCGGGGGGGGGGGGGGGGGTGGGGGCGGGGGGGGGGGGGGGGGGGGGGGGGGGGGGGGGGGGGGGGGGGCTGGGGGGGGGGGTGGGGGGGGGGGGGGGGGGGGGGCGGGCGGGGGGGGGACGGTGTGGGGGGGGTGGGGGGGGGGGGGGGGGGGGCAGGGGGTGGGGGGGGCGGGGGGGGGGGCGGGGGGGGGGTGGGGGGGGGGGGGGGGGGGGGGGTGGGGGGGGGGGGGGAGGGGAGGGGGGGGGGGGGGGGGGGGGGGGGGGGGGGGGGGGGGGGGGGGGGGGGGGGGTGGGGGCGGGGGGGGGGCGGGGGGGGGGGGGGGGGGGGGGGGGGGGGGGGGGGGGGGGGGTGGGGGGGGGGGGTGGGGGGGGGGGGGGGGGCGGGGGGGGGGGGGGGGGGGGGGTGTGGGGGGGGGGGGAGTGGGGGGGGGGGGGGTGAGGGGGGGGGGGGGGGGGGGGGGGGGTGGGGGGGGGGGGGGGGGGGGGGGGGGGGGGGGGGGGGGGGGGGGGGGGGGGGGGGGGGGGGGGGGGGGGGGGGGGGGGGGGGGGGGGGGGGGGGGCCGGGGGGGGGGGGGGGGTCGGGGGGTGTTGTGGGTGGGGTGGGGGGGGGGGGGGGGGGTGGGGGGGGGGGGGGGGGGGGGGCGGGGGGGGTGGGTGGGGGGGGGGGGGGGGGGGGGGGGGGGGGGGGGGGGGGGGGGGGGGGGGGGGGGGGGGGGGGGGGGGCCGTCCCCAGGTAAGCGCAAACCCACCGCCCGGCCGCGCCTCCGCGTTGACTTGCGTCGGCGCGCCGGGCGCCCCGGACATCACGAAGTATTCCTCAGAAGGCTCGCTGCGACCGAGGAAGTTGCGAGCGAGCACGCGCACGTAGTAGCGTCCGTGCCCCGCCATTCCCTCAAGGACATGCGAAGTCTTCCACGGCGCCATGACCAATTCCTCGTCGCCGGGTTCGTAGGTGGCCTGGGTTCGCCACTGAAGCACAAAACCGTCGTGGAAGGTCCCTTCGGCCGGGCGTTCCCACGAGACGAGCAGCGAGTTCTTGCCCCCAACTGCCGTCACTCCCGAGGCAGCCTCCGGCGGCCCTGCCGGCGCCGCCGTTATTTCTCGTGACGGTGTTCCCACGGTTCCGTCGGTGGACACCGCCGATACTCGCAAGGTGTAATTGACACTGTTCTGAAGCCCTGCGATCACCGCCGAGTTTGTGAACGCCGCCGGCACGTTCAGCTGGCGCGACGCATCGTAGGTCTCGCTTCCGGACTTCCATTCCACCCGGTAGCCGCTGAGCTCAATCTCACTGTGAACAGGCTCGTTCCACGACAAGACGATTTCGTGATCGGCCGCCGTCGCCGTTAGAGTCGCCGGCGCTCCCGGTTTCCCCGGCACGGCTGACGTCTCGGCCGCCCGACTGTGACCGTGCTCGTCGACGTGGGTACCGGGCGAACCGTCGTTGACGGCCACAACCCGGACAAAATACTCGACACCGTCGGCGAGGCCGGCGATGGTGTGTGACAACTCGGATGTCTCCAACACTAGAGTCTGCCGCGACGCGTCAAAGTCCTGGTCAGCCGTGCGCCACTGCACCGCGTAGTGGGTAACCTCTGTCCCTGCCTCGTAGAGGTGCGGGCTCCATGTCACCTTTAGGCTGCCGTTCAGCGTGGTAACGGCCATGTCCTGTGGCTTCCGCGACTCACACCCGCCGTCCCGCCACGGGTTGCCACCAGCTCCGTCCGACGATGTCAACGCCCAGTTGGCCTCTCCGGTGGAGCAATAACCACCGAACATGTTGCGCATCAAATACGTGATCGCCCGCTTGTGATTGGCGTTTCGGACATCTGCCCATACGGCGTCCAGGTCGACGTTGCCGGTTTCGTCGTCGTAGTGCTCCCAGAACCAGTCCGCTATCTCGCCCTTCACCACGCTCCCGGCTACCTCTACGCTTTCTTCGTCGGGGACGCCTCGCCTGGCTATTTCGGGGCAGCCGGTCAGGTATCCATAGCGCGCGCGCCTTCTGCCGCGTGTGGGAGGTCAGTACGTCGGGATAGATTTCCCCCACTTGACAGTGGCCCTTGACCCGATAGTTGAAGTACAGCCAGCCGACACCCACCGCGTCCTGGACGTCGGGCACGCGGGGGTCGAGCGTAAAGTGGTGGGCGATCTCGTGTAGCACGATCGCCTCGGAACGGTAGCCTTTCAGGGTGAATACGAAGCGGAGGCCCCTGGGCAGGCCGCGGAATCCGTCCACCCCGCCGGTGTAGTAGACGTACCACCCCGGCCTCTTGCTGCTCTTTACCTTCGACGGCAAAGGACGGTTGCTCCAGGCCTGGCGCACCCACGGAAAGTCATCCTCGAATTTCTGAATGATGTTGTTCTCGATGTAACTTTTGGCCGAAACAGGCACCACCGAGGATACCGAGCTGCCAACGGTCGTGGCGTCGCTCATCGTGGATACCCGCACCACGTTGACGACGCCGTGTTCCACACCTACGACGGTCAGCGGGTCACTGCTATTTCTGGCTTCAGTAACCAACCACTGGCGCGCAGTGTCGTAGGATTGGTTTCCCGATTTCCATTCCACCAAGTACCCGGTTATGGTGTGACCCTTGCTTCGGTCCGGCGCCTGCCAGAACACCTTGAGCCGGTCGTGGGGGCCCCTGACTTCCAGGTTCTTGGGAGCGCCGACCACCACTTGGGGAGCGTCGCTGGACGCTGTCGACCACGTTCCGGGGCTGCCGTCGTATTCGGCCGCTACCCGTACGTCGTAAGACGTCCCATTGGTCAGACTGGTAATTGTGTACGCCTGGCTCCCGGCGGAGACCTCCGCTTCCGAAGCGCTTGGCCAATTCGCAGACGCAGCCTTCCACTGGATCCGATAGCCGGTCAGGCTCTTCGCTCCATCGTCCGTCGCAGCGCCCCACTCCACCGTCAGGCGCTGGTCGTTTGTGGTGACAGACAGGCTCTGCGGAACGGTGACGACGGTAGTTTTTGTCGTGCCGGATCCTGGTTGGTCCGTGCTCCGCCTCTGCGTATCGCTGGCGAGCATCACCGAACCTTCGATCTTGAACAACACCGTGTAGTCTTCGTCGGTGGCGATGCTCCACCCGGCCGCTCCGTTCGCGTCCACGCTGTTTCCGTCCACGAATCCTATCCGGTACAGCACGCTATCCGTAGGGGCTTCAACGGAGTTCTCAAATACGACGAAGTAGCCGGTCTCCTTGGCGAGGACGCCGTCCGCGGGCACAGTGAACGTGTTCAGCGCATCGTTGGCGAACGTCGTGGGATTGTTCAGCGTGTACAGAATCTCTTCAGGAAGGCCGTGCTCATCAAGCGTGTAGATGCTGACTTGCGGGGCGTTATTCGAGCCCACGTCCTTGAGCCACGCGGTGACCGAGGCCAGCGAGTACCCGCCGGCGTTGTTGCCCGTGGTGAATTTGAGAGCCTGCGCGTGCACGAGGCTGTCTTCCGGCCCAACCGACTCCCAGTGCTCAGGTTGCTGCGTCTGCCCCAGGTTGCTGATCAGGGTGGTGTCGGTGCTGGCCAGCGCGGGCGCGGCCAGTGAGGCCACGACCGTAGCGGTCGCCGCCGCGGTGGCGACCGCTACCGCTACGGTAATGAAGCTGCG